TGATACCAGCCGCAGCAGCAGCAAGCAGAGCAAGGTGAGTGCGGGCGATGGGGTTGGGCTCCTATGCCCTGGCTAATTGAAAAGCTTGTCTTGCCCAGAAACTGGACATTAAACCGGCGGCCGCTGTAAATGGCCGTAAATCGTTGGACGACAGCGCTGAGAACACCTCCGAATTGGACACGAATGATGGGTAAGTGCTGGGTGGCTTGACATTGACATGGCCTTTAGTATGGCCAGCTTTTCGGGGCAGCGCGGGGCGGGGCGGTGCGTGAGCTATGTGCTAGCTAAAGGCTTCTGCGTTTTACGTTACACTTTTGGCATGGCTTTGAGAGTTTTTTGCATTTTGATCAACCAACCCAAGCAGTACCAGTGCCATTGATGACGAAGATTTGTCCAAGGCCGATGCGGAAGTTGAAATGGCAGCGGCAGCGGCTGCGGATGCGGATGCGAATGCCGCATTGCCGCTGGCCCAGCAGCGCCGGCCGGAAACGCCGGCGGCCTTTGCGGCGGGCAATGCCAGCGATACAGCCGGCGATACCGAAAGCGAAGCTGAGGTAAGTCCTTTAAGCTACCCAGGCCGCCGGCCTGAGGTCCTTTTTTGTTTTTTCTGTTAACTGCTTTGCACCATGCGCTTTTGCTGTATAGTTTATTGGGTCAATTAGCTAAATGAAGAGCTGCAGTTTTTTTTTATTTTAGACGCTGTCGAAGTAAGCTATTGTCGGCCATGATGCGGCTTTCTTTTTGCCACACGCAACACACACAAAACGTACACACACTTTTCCCTGCAAGCATTCTGAATTGTCTTTAATCTGTATCGCTGGGAAGATATTATGGCGATACTATCGATAGCACAGCATAACTTTACCGAAGGAGAGGTTAAGCGGTGTTGATGCTATCGCAAGTTTATTATCCAGTCGATTCTTACACGAGTCTTTCCCATTACACATATTGCCAAGGGAAAGATACAAATTCGATAAGAAATGTTTACAGGGCTGTAAATAAGAGCTGAACACACATACATACACACACATAGAACGCTCGCATTTAGCGCTTGGTCAGCTCGACTGATACATGTAGATAAAAGTAATATTTTTCACAATTTCGAAAGTTCACAAAGGAAAGCAATCAGTCGACAATTGTTTACTTTTACAGAATATTGCAAGAGCTCTAAGCGCTGAAGATGCTGAAAAGGTTGTGCCAGGGGCAGCGGAACAAGCGGAGGATGAGACGGATGCAAGTGTAGAGCTGGTTGAGAATGGTGAATTAGATGCTGAGAGTGAGCAAAATGCAACTGAAAAGACTGAAGCAATTGTGAATGAGAACGGAACGGAAACGGAAATGGAATTGCAGCCGGAGCAAGAAGTAGCAAATGAAGCTGAAGAGCATGAAGAGCAAGAAGACCAAGTGGAGGCAGCAGAAGCTGCAGAAGAGCCAACCAAAGACAACGAAGAAGAAGAAGAGAAAGCAACTGTTGCTGCTGCTGCTGCTGCTGCTGCTGGTGATGAGGAGGTGGAAGAGGACGACGATGAGGTACAGATTGGCTTGCTTTAAATGCCAACTCTTGTGCAGTCAGCAAATTGTTTAGTAGATTGATTGATTGATTGATCGATTGATGTTTTGTGGCGTTTGCTCAACTGTTTTTTGATATGTGAACTGTATAAAACTAAAAAGCAGCTGCTGGCACTCAGTTTAAACCATATATATATATATATACTTAAATACCTTAATTCTGTACAACAACGTAGTCCCAACAACAACAACAACACAACACAGCTATACTATATATAAATATACAATATACAACTGCTTAGTATTTGCTATAAAACCTAAACAATATTAAAATCAAACCGATTTCGTGGATGCCGTACAAAACTTATCATTGTATATTTTGTAAACGCAAGTGTTTCTTACTTTCAAAATACATACAAAATACATACATATTAAACATATATATCTAACTAATTTAATCAATAACAAATTAAAAAATATTGACTCGAAAAGCAGCAATAAAAAAAAAAACGCAACTCGTGTGTTTTGTTTACGTTTTGCACTCGTATTTCCGTGTTACTTTCCATTTCTATTTGTTTATGTCTGTCCCTTTCTAATATAGATCTAATCAATGCCAAAGTCTGAAATTGTTTTTTCCCCTATCGATTGGCTGAAATCAGCAGCTGTTTTGCCGCAGATACACTCTCTATAATAGAAATGCAAAGAATATAAATACACATGTGAATGCACATTCGATACTCGGCATATGTCCTGGCATTTCACTTTCACTTGCCATGTGTCCTTCTCGGCCTGCCTGGCTGTCGTGCTGCCAGCCTGCCAGCCTGACGTTTGCCCGACTTGCCTCAGCTGTCAGCCGGAACCAAGTCCAAATGGCAACTGAGCATGCAATACGTCAAGAACAGTTGTAAACGTTAGATATTGTATGATATATGTTAGGCGTATACTATATATACTATATGTTTTCCGAGTTAATTTAAAATTGCTGCGCCTGCTGTGGGCCATTTGAAACTCGCAGTTATTACATTTTGTTTGTCGATTAGCATTTGAGTGGGCGTTGGACCACAATTTAATGACTACAGCCTAGATCATATCTTCAGTGGCCCAAGGTAATACAATATAATAGATTCAATTCAATCACGCGGCGTATGCGCAATATTACGTATACGACATGTTGCAGCAGTTAACTGTAAATTTTGGGTTAAACCCGGCCGATCGCACCATTTGGCATGTAAACAGAACTGCAACAATGGCACCCAACTACCTGGCACTCATTTTGTCGTAGTATTTAGTCCTGTGTTTCGTAACCTTGTTGCACTCTAAGCTAGCTGTCCGCTGAGCTAACAAATAAATACGCAATTCTCTGCAGGATGTGATTGCAGCAACGCCCAGCCAACCAGAAAAGGAACAACAGCAACAGCAACAGCAACAGCTGGACACGGAACAGGATCTGGTGCAGGATAATGATGGCGGCGATTCGCTCACCTCGTCGCTGGCCATCGAGGGCTTTGTGCAGGGCGCCTCCGAGGATTATACAGTTCAGTCTCAAACGGCAGCTTATGAAGTCGATGATGAAGTATAAGCGGCTAACCCTTTTCTATCTACATCTACTTCTCTATCTCTCGTTTTTTTCATTTGCCGTCTCCTTTGGACCAATTTACTTGATTTTTAGATTTGGCACCTCTTTTCCCGCTTTCACTTCATACGCACACAAACTCTTGTCGCTTTAATTTTCAGCCAAAACAAAGTTTATCCCTTGTTTTTCCACAGGATGCGCGCTTGCAGCAAATCATCGAGTCGGGCGACATGGAGCAGCTGGCCGAGATTGTGCTGAACGGCGAGGGTGCCCGCCTGTTGGGCCTAAAGTCCAAGGAGCCCGAAATACAGGCCTTTCTCAACAATGTGCCCAGCTATATGGTCTGTACCTGCTCTTCCCTCTCTATTTTTCCATCTCACACTACTCTCTGCCTATCTACCTCTTTTCCCTCTTTCTCTATTGTGTATATCCAATTGTCCATTGATTGCTGCACTTGCTCGTCTGCAGGAGAAAATCCATCGCGTGCACGATGCGGCACGTGACGGCAGTTTGTTGGCGCTGCAGCAGGCGCTGGATCGCCGGAAGTTCGCCATTGCTAAGGACGACATATCGCCAAATGGCGCCACGCCACTGCACGTTGCCGTACTCTTTGGCCACAGTGGTAAGTTATGGAGGGGGGGACACTGTCAACATGGCTGTGTCACAGTTTGTGTACATGCATCTAATCCCCATTCCCAGATATTGTACGCTATTTGGCTTCACGCTTTCCGGAGACCATGGCAATTACGGATAATGACGGACGCACGCCGCTGCACTATGCGGCCACAATTAAGGACAACGGCCACTTTTACAATGTCCTGTCGCAACTGGGCGCCAACCCAAAGGCACTCGATAAGGTAAATATATATATATAGGACTCACAGCTCTCGCATAATTTATAGCTCAAGCCATTATGCCGAACATTTTCGGGTGAAATTTAGCTTGGTTTAAAAAGTACTTTACTTTTTGTTATACAGAGGGGTCAAAGATCTTAAATTATTTGAACTTTATGATTGGCCAGAGAGTAATTTTTATATTGATTGCAAATGTTTGCATTTTGATTTATACTAGCTGTCCGCATATGTTTTCAAGGGTATTTGGCGTTCGGCACTCTAAACATACTCGTTCATAATTTCCTTAATAGCTCAATTATTGTGCTTAGAATGGGTCTTGGAAATTTCATATAATACTTAACATACCCGAGAGCTATTAGTTTCTACTAGTCGGAACTACAGCAGCTGCGCCTTCATTTAAGTCCATGCCAGCTTAGCAAACGACCTAAAATTACATTTACACTGGCCAGAAATAGGTCAAGTTAGGCCCGCGTTGACTTTCAAGTGTCAGCGCAGTATAAGGTTGGGCCTCGAACTTGCCTTCGCACTTGAATCAATATATGCTATAAATATGAAATGAACTAAAGAATATTTTAAATTCAACACGCAGCTGGGCCACACACCCGAATTTTATGTGGACATGGAGAAATCGAAAGATGTGCTCACCTACACCGAACTGCTGACCATATTCGGGGCCGAGGAGCTGGAGAACCAGCTGCTCAGCGATCAAGGTAGGCATTCATTTGTCCAGTTCGTAAAACCTACTGCCAGACGCATTTGAAATCAATTTTATTTTGCTTTGCTGTTTGGCTTTAATGTTGTTTTGTTGTTGCACGCAATTTCGCCGCACAACCACATACAACAAACACACACACTCGCACACACACTCAACTGGTTATTAAAGCACTCACAGTAAAAATAATTAAATAGGTTTTTTGTTTGCTAACCGAAACTTCCGGACATGATTGGTTGGCTCGTTGACTCTGCGCCCGCCAAGCATCGATTTTCAGTTGTACACACCACACACATACGCACGCACACATAGGGGGTCACACACACGCACACTCAGGCCACCCCACACACACAACACGCGTCCTTCGCTGGATGTGTACTCACATATTCCTACCTCCATTCGTATAGTTAGTCAACTTTTGGTGGCTAATACGCGCAGTTGGTCCCGCGGACAGTTCGGAGCGCATTCAAATGGCGGCAAATCGGGAATTTTTCAATGAGATTATCAATAATATTGATGATATATTCGGTATGTGTGCAGGAAGATAAACATTGTTTTCTAAGAGTGGACTCTCGAGGCACAAGTAGCGCGACAGTATCGAATATAAATTTCACTCTTAGCCTTATTATTCATAAGGCTACTATAGCTGTCCTGCTTTAGCCTTAATCGGGTCCAATTCTAAGCCAAAGTTTCTGTAAAGCAGTTTGAATAGTTAATTGGGAACATAAACTTGAACTTTTCTGGAAATTATACGTTGATTGGGGCACTTATAAAGTTCAAGTACGCAAAACTATTTAAAATATTTGATATGGGTTAAATTTTACATTTTACAATTGGAGTTAGGTTTCAATTCTTATTATTCTTTTTTTTATTAAACCTTTGATGATGGGGTCTATTCTATAGGATTATAAGCTTATTGGCTGCAATATGATTGATTTGTAGGTTGGCTACCAAATACTCATCTTTTACATGCACTAATTTAATTATATTTGTACCTGTTAAAGCACACGCGCCTCTTCTCTGCACCCACAAACATAACAAGTCTCTTGTGCTGCTCTGTGTTCGTGTCCATGTGTATGTCTGTGTGTGTTGGTGTTCAAGCCCGCTGTGCTGTACTGATAATCATCAACAATTACACCCAACGCTGCCCAACAACAACAACTACAACAACAACTACAACAACCAGTGCCCGATGATCTGCACAGCGCACGCCGCGAGCTCCAGGATGGAGAAATCGCTCGCACTCTGGAGCGTTGTTTTAGCGTCATCACGGAGTCTGGAAAGTTGCTGAGCGGGACAACAGCCTCGGCACTGGCGCATCGAAAGCCATTGAGTGCCTCCGCGCTGCAGCTATCCGTGACGAGCTATCTGAGCCGCTTTCTCAAGCGCATGGTCTACGAGAAAATTAAGCGCCGGCAGACGCGGCTCGATCATAATCTCTTCGATGTGCTCTGGCCGGCCATGCGTAAGACTTCGAAGCTGCGGCACCTGGAGGAGGATATCAATTGTGGCATCATAGCGCCCGACTTTGATGTGTTTGTAGTGTTTCAGGAGTTCCTGGTGCCGCTGCTCAAGGACATGCACTGCCTGAGCATCGATGCGGACTTTAAGCCGCAGCCGCGTCTCGCCTACTTTCCCATGGACAATGGCGAACGCCTCAATACGGCTGCCTTTGTGTTCGACGATGAGTCGCAGCTGGTCACGCGCTGCATTGTGGAGGCGTCGCGCAATCTGGATCAACTGGAGTTGCCGCTCAATCTGACCATAGGTCAGATCGAGCAGGCCGAACGCCTAATGATGGGCAAAATGTTTACGGCCAACTTTGCCGAGGCCATTGGCGAGACGGAATCGGGCAGCTACTATACGCTGACGGAGCTCATGGAGCCAGACTCGGAAGTGGCAAAGCAGCTCAGCAATTTGGGTCTGATGATTCCACTGTTGGATACCAAAGATCTGGTTCAAGCGGCCGAGTCAACAGCCTTTAATGGCGCACTGTGGCCTTATGGCCGTGGCGTCTACGTCAACTCCGCACTCAACATGGCCTTGTGGCTAAATTGCCAGGAGCATCTGCGTGTCATATCGTCCAGTAGTAGCAAGGAGCCGGCAGACATGGGCGCTGCCTACACGCGCGTCGGTCGCGCCGTCTCTTACTTGGAAACACAGCTGCACTTCAAGGAGAGTTATCTGCTCGGCTATTTGCAATCCCGGCCAGCTTACCTAGGCACGGGTCTCAAAATGACCACAATTGTCAAGCTGCCCAATCTGATGAAGGAGCTGGACAATTTGCGGCATCTGTGCTCCGTGCGTGGCCTCAGCATGGTCACCAATCGTCTGTCCAAGCTGACCGTGCGGCTAATCAATATGCAGAGTATGGGCGTTGTGGAGTATGTCCTGTTCCAGGACTATTGTACGGCTGTTACAAATATAATGTCGCTGGAGAAGGATATGTCGCTGACAAACTCCAAGCATATAGCCACCATGCTGGTCAAGATCTTTAAGCGCAAAAAGAACAGCATTATAGATCGCAACTAATCGCAGCCAAAAAAAAAAAAAAAAAACCAAAATCAAAACATAGATCAAAGATAGAAAATGAAAGCACAACTCATACATTTCAAGGCAATTGTATTGTAAATACAACAAGAGCAACAGCAACAACAAAAAGTGCACTGATAACTATTAAATTGTAATATATATATATACATATATACAGCTGTATTCGATCGATCAATAAAATTAGAGTTTAATTAGTTGCAAGGCAGCAGCAAAACAAATCAAAGACAAAAACTAAACCAAACCAAATCCTCAGCTTCGGCCTCATGAGATACACGTACGTACCTATTGCTTCTCCACCCCGCAGCTCCCTCTCTCCCATTAGCAATGTGTACCGTTCTTTGATATGATTTGCAAGGTTTGTTTTTTAGTTTCATCGTAGACTCATTTGGTTCCAAAAAAAAACCTTACTTGACTCTTTCGCTTTGTGTACAGAAATTAGTTGAACTTTTGAATGTGCCCAACGATTGCTGATCTTCAGCTGTGTCTTATAAAGTTTCTCTGCATTCGCAGGTCAGTCGCAGCCGGTTACTTTTCAGGGCAATCCCATCTTTAAAACGGAACAGGGCAAATATCTGGCGGATTGTAAGTGCACCGGTCACACAAGCAAGGTTTTCAACTGATTCAACCATTTTTCCCCCCTCTCAGCGCTGGCCGATCCCTTGATTAAGGCCTTGACGGAAATAGCCAATAAACGGCCCAAGGATCCCGTCGCCTATCTAACCGGTTATCTGCAGCAATTCATGGGCCAGCGCAAGCCCATTACTGAGGCCGTCGTCCACTCGGGCAGCAGCAAGACCAGCAACAACTCCACAGCGATAGCCAGCTCCGTCTCAAAGGTTAGCAGCAGTCGTACGGGCAAACCCCATGCGGACATCATTGAGCTGGACGCACGCTCACTAGCCGAGCAGCAGGAGGACGATGAGGACGCCGCATTGGCTGTGCAGCACTTGGAGGAGCGCGATGAGCATGGCCAGAGCATGTTGCACTTTGCCTGCGCTCGCTCGCATCGGCGTGGCGCGCTCTACACGCTCATCGAGGAATCGCGCATTGATGTCACCTACAGGGACGAGCTCTATCGCACGGCTAGAGACGTGGCTCTGCAGGCGAATCAGCCAAATAATGCCGCCGAAATCGATCGCTATGTGCTCGCTCAGGCAGTGCTGGGTAGGCTAAACAGTTGCCTCATGTCAATTTAACTCTTCAATTCATATTCCTTGCTGCTTGTGCAGGTGATGTGGAACCCTTTGAACAGCTGGCACTTCAGGGTTACGATCACATTTTGGATGTGGAAGATGAGAACGGCAAGTCCATTGTGGACGTGGCCGCAGAGCGTCGGCATGAGGCACTCGTTGGATTTTTGAATAGTCTGCGCGTGCTGGAAGAGACACGCGAGGAGCTGCATCAAATGATCCGGGACAAGAATATGGAACGACTCAAAGAGCTGACTGCAGTGCCCAACGCCAAGTGGCTTATTAAGACCAAAAACTATTATGGTATGTGTTCCAGGAATGGTAAATATTTTGATGGATTCCTTACAAACTGCTCTACTCTTTGATTAGGTCGCACCGCACTGCACATAGCCGTGCTGAAGGAATCCGAGGAAATGGTACAGCACTTGGTGCAGCTTTGTCCCGAGGCGCTCAAGGTGACGGATAATGTAAGCTATCCAGGTTTCTCGGAAGAAATTAAACTCCTTCAATTTCTAACATTCACTTCCTTTCCTTTGTGGCCTCTCAGCTGGAACGCACCGTCTTGCACTACGCACTGGGCACCAATTTCTGTGAAAGCGTCAGCCGTATTCTCATTCAAAATGGCGCCAAGCGCACGGCAAAGGACCTGAAGGGTAGACAGCCGAGCTACTACTTCATCAACAAGGCGGACATACTGCGCCTGCAGGAGGAGGAGGAGGAAAGTCGCTGAGCAATATTTACATATAGAAGTCATTTAGCTTTAAGTTGTTCTAGTTAAATAAAAAAGTTTAGCAACAATTGCCTTTATAAACGATTTAAGCAAACAAATCAGCCTTCACCCAGTTTGTCGCGCTTTAATTAATAGCACCTTCGCGAGAGTTGGAATTCTCGGACCTTTGAGCAACACTTTCTCCTATCTGCTAAAGTGGCCCATTGAGATAAGTGCTAAGACATCCAATTGCGATTAGTTTAAGCTATCTTGGGGAGCTGCTCGATACTGTCATTCATTGATGTGAAGTGCTCCATTCCACAGGGTCGATAAGCGCCGGGTAACTCAATGCGAGTGCTGTGACAGTCAAAGATAAGATTACGACTTAATCCATGGCCTTTCTGTTCAATAACTGTGATTTTTTTGCCATTGAAGTGAGGTTACTGACTTAGTCATGCGTTTTAAGACGCTTAATAAAAAAAAACGTTTAATTACTTAAATAATGATTCTGTTTCGTTTATTACTAAGTAGAAAGCAGATTTCATAATAACATAACATAATAACATAGTTGAGCATTGGAATTGCAAAAACAAGAACATGAAAAAAAATATTTCCAATCTATATTCTATTTCCGGCAGTACTCTTTATGTTATATTTCCGATAAGTTTTCCATAAAAGTCTAAAAAGCATATTAATGTGTATCAGCAGTTATGAGCAATATAACAATATGTGAAAGGGTATTGAATGTGCGGCATGTGGAAAATGCTGTAATTATTTTCAAATATTTACTTTCTATTAGAAAATCATCCGTTGAGCCTTGGCCCAAGTGGACTGGGTCGTCCGTCTGTCTAGTCATGAGCATTATCTATTCAAATGAGAGACCAACATCTGCATATGTATGTTGTATATTATCAACAATGGAGAAGACTGTGTGTGGGTGGATGGGCGTGTGTGTTTCGCGTACTGGGCTATGTGTTTTGTTTTTCTCTTCGATTTGCTGTCAATGCCCTATCAGTCGTTCGGTGCGCATGTTGCTGATACTTACTATCAGAGTGTGTCTGTGTGTATGTTTCAAGTGAAGTGCTCTGATTTCAGACTAACGCCAAGTATGAAACGATTAACAGGCAGGTGGTTGGTTAGGTGTAAAGCCAGCTGACAACCGGAGCTACATTGAGTTGCTTGCCGGAGTGGTGCGTGCGCGGTTCAAGTATAAGTCGAGCGCTACGAAATGACAGCGGAAACGAATACGGGTAATGAAAAGTTAGGATCCTTGGTGAAAAATGTTGAACAAGTTGAACAAGCCAAAAAAAAGAACCCTGCTATTTGATAAATGTGTTGTGTTTCAATGTGATATAGAGCCATGCTCTTGCAAGTTTTAATCTGATGCATAAATATATCAAGTGGACTGGGCGATTCTATATATTACAGTTTACGAACACAGCTCTAGAAATTCCCAGTTATATTTTTAGGAAATGACTTGAGCAAAGGCGCAATAAAATGAGTGTCGAATAGGAAAACAAAGAGCTACCTTTGGAACAGAAATTTAAAAGAGATTATACTTGTTGTTTTCAAAAGTTTAAAGTATATTTTGTAATGGATTTCCTTTCGGCTCACAGGTCCCATGCTGGGTCAGCGTCATGTGCAGACTTTTCTGCTTTTCCTCTCGATTGTAGTCAACTATATAGCAAAGTTTAACGCTGGCGTTGCAGTTGTGGCCATGACCAATGCGGAAAGCACAAACCCCAATTTTCCCGTAAGTATTCAATGCATAAATAAGGTAAATACTTACCCTCAATTATCCTCGCAAGGAATACAATTGGAACGAAATGGAGCGCTCTTATATACTATCCAGTTTCTTCTGGGGCTATATTATGACGCAGTTTCTGGGCGGTTGGCTATGCCGTCGTTATGGCGCACGGCTGACCATGTTTGTATCGACCATTGGCTCAGCCGTGCTCGTTCTGCTGGTGCCCTTCTGTGTGCCTTGGGGCGGCTGGCAGGCCTATTGCGTGATACGTGTCGGCATGGGCTTGTTCCAGGGTCTGATGTTTCCTTGTGTGCACGCGCATTTGGCCAACTGGTGCCCGGCCTCGGAGCGTAACAGACTGGGCGCCCTGGCCAATACCGGCCTCGACTTCGGCACTCTGCTGGCCATGTTTGTGAGCGGCCAGGTAGCCGCCTCCAGCATGGGTTGGCCGGGCATCTTTTATATCTCCTGCGCAGTGGGCGTACTGTGGTGCATTGGCTGGATCATATTTGGTGCTGATTCGCCGCGGCAGTCCAAATTCATAAGCAAGGCGGAGCTGCATTACATCGAGTCATCGATTAATGCGAGCAGCAAGCAGGAGGAGAAAATAGAAACGCGTCAAATTCCAGTGCCCTGGAAAGCTATCCTGACTTCGGCGCCCTTCTGGTCGCTGTTTTTGGTACGCTGCACGCAATCCTGGGGCTACTCCACACTTCAGGCAGAGATTCCCGCCTATATGAACGGCGTGCTACTGATGGAGATGAAGAGCAATGCCTTGTTCTCTGCACTGCCCTATTTGGCCTCCTGGGTTATGGCCTTTGTCTATCTGATTGTGTCGGATATTTTGCTCACAGGCGGCACACTGACCATCACTGGCATACGTAAGACTTTCAACTCGCTGGCCTCCTGGTTGCCAGCCATAAGTTTGATTGGCCTCAGCTTTTTGGACAGCAGCCAGAAGACTCTGGCAATTGTCCTAATGACCGTCAGTGTGGGCATTAATGCCGGCTCCACCATTGGCAGCGCCCTAAACACCATCGATTTGTCTCCCAACCATGCGGGCATTCTGATGGGCATTGTCAATACGGGCGCAAATATTGTGCCCATTCTGACGCCGCTGCTGGTGGGCATTATTGTCAAGAATGAGGTGAGTTTGCCAGATATATTATGTATATACAAAAATATGCTAAATTCCCATTCATTTTCGCAGCAAGATCGTGTTGAGTGGCAGGTGGTTTTCATTATTTCTGCAGTCATTTTCTTTGTGGGCAATCTGTTCTATATTCTATTCGGCCAAATGGTAAATCAGCCGTGGAATGCCGCCGACTTTCTCGATCAGCAAAAGGCACCTATCTGCCAAGAGGAAGGGCAAGCAGCTAAAGCTAATGCAAAGGCCATCGAGGCACTGCAAAATGAGAAGCAAGAGAAGGACAACAACACATAATGTGTAAATTAAATCTGAAGAATTAAAAACCTGAACAATATTACGACAAATCGAAACTCAGCGGATCCATATAGTTCGATTAACTGAACAGGCCATGTAATCGTGGAATAGTGATAACAACAAATATGAAATAGCAGTGCTTATAGTACTAAGTTATACCAATTAAGAATTAATCACGGCTGGGTCGTAGATAAATAACATAACTGTATTTAATAAATTTATACTAAAGATAAACGTATTTCGGGGTTGCCTTATCGTTATTTCAGAAATGTTTGGCTACTTACTTGGACGCTAATCTTTTCATTATTGCTATATTACATTTTACTTGATTGTTTTTAATTATATCTGCTCTGACGTATTTAGGCGCAAGTTGGTATGTGGTAGAAATTCTTCGATGATGTTTTTTGTAAAGCTTTCAATTGAATGTTTTGTTTGGGGCCTGGAGATTTTTAACGTGCGATTACCATCACCACATCGTCGTCTTTCAGTAAAAACTAGTTAGTAAGAAAGTACGGGAATCCAGATTATCTATAATTAAAATTGGACTGGAATTATTAAAGGGACACAGCAAACATATACATATGTATTCAGGGTAACTATTTTGTGGGTAACTATTTTCCATCTGAATTTGAATTTAACCCAGCCCTGTCTAGTTTCCAAGTGCCCGCAATAGCAGCAGTGTTGGAAAACATAGAATAAAACGCTGGAAAAGTTATGATTTTTACACCTAGTGAAGGTCTGAATAATCGGCTTGCATTCAAAAAAATCGAATTATTAATCGAATCCGCTTGCTCAAAAATTTGAATTTTATTTATTTTTGATATGTTTAAGTCTGAAAGGGAAAATAATTCAAATATCTGACGCAATCAAACTAAAATGGGAAAAATAAGGCCTTAATTCGGAGTACTTTCGTTTCTCATTTATGATATAAAAATATTTTATTGCGAACAATCATTGCATACTTTTGCGCAGCCGACAAATGCTGCATACTTCTGGGAAGTGGCTTAGACAACTGTATTTAAGGGACGAATGGATAGGATAAGGACGAATTAATTGATTTTTTTTCGTCAGCTGATAGGGCCGGTATTTGCAAATAACCTATTTTGTATATAGATTGTTTTGGGGCTGTGCTCGTGCCTCGGTCTAGAGGATTTCCTTCGCTCTTTCTCTGCTGCTGCTGCTCCTCTGTTGGTATAGGTCAGCAAACAACATGCTCACCAAGGTAATTGCCTTGAAGTTCAAATATTTCATTTATTGCCGTACATTGTTTTCAATTTTCTTTGAATGTGCCTCGATGGGGCTCTGGTTATTTTGTAGCACGTGTTCGGCCTTATCGGTGGATAATCAATGCTGATAAGCTATCCCAAAATGCTTGATAATCAGTTTCGATACGATCAGACTAAAGTGTCAAGAGTTGAATTAACATTAGCTCGATTTATTCGGCTGTGGTCAGTAGTGCAGATTGAACGTGGCAAAAACTGGTGGCTCTCTGGAGAACTATTAACTATTTTCTGATTATATAATTGGACCAAGGACTTTGACGGGCCAAATGACCGCCGAGGTGAACAAAGGTAAATTGTTTTTCTTAACTGTGAAGGATGAGAATAACAAGTGTTGAAAAAGAACTTTTGGAAATCCAACACCTTTCGATTTGTTTTGTCATAAATATTATAATCTGCGTATAATCAGCCCACACGCAATAGGAAATCGCCCATAAATAAAAGCTAGTCTGGTTGTTCAGACTTGCTGACTGATAAATGTCAAGGCACGCGAATGTTTTACAACATGGTCAGATTATTTGGACTTTAATCGCATACAAAATGCTAAAGGCCTCTGGGAAATTACCATATTAATAAATCATACTTTTCAGGTCCCCTTTTGGGCATACGCCATCTGCAGGCGCTGCTTATATTTATAACCATAACCGC